CGCCTCATCAGTGAAGGACTAAAAGTAACATTCAAACACGAAGGCCGCTCATACGCGCAATGAGCTCAGAGCACAGTAGACATCTGTTTGGATTTCCCGGGCTTGGGGGGAGTGGCCAATCAACGAACTTATCGGGTGCTGTCTGAGATCGTGACATGCCACCGAACTAATAATATTCAATGTTAAAAGATTCGGATTTTGGTTTCTTTACCGCTCGCAACGTGCATCTCTGATTGGAGGATTTGTGAGAGTGACCTTTTAGTTATCCCGCATTTAATTTACTGGATAACTGTACAAACCACTACGACGAAGCGGCAAGCGTCCCGGAATTGACCACTTTGCCTATATCGTCCCAATACAGTTGGACACCTTATGACAGGACCTTCAACCTCACTACAAAAGACATCTTACCACTATACCCCTCATTATGGTGCCATACGCTCAGTGTACGCGATTCATAACCCAAAATAAGGTTCCTCTGTCATTCTGATCAATACAAACCACTACGACGAAGCGGCAAGCGTTCCGGAATTGACCACTTCGCCTATATCGTCACAATACAGTTGGGCACCCTATAACGGGATCTTCAAACTCGCTACAAAAGGTATCTCACCACTATACCTCTCATTATGGTGCCATACACTCAGTGTACGCCATTCATAACCCAAAATAAGGTTCCTCTGTGTTAAGAAATGGCATCGCAACTGCACTTACGCCGTAACAAAAAGATCTAATGGGATCATGCGGTTTCGGGCAGGGTCTCTAATGGACTAATGGTTATCAGTAAGCTCAAGGAAGCACGTGTGTTCTAAGTTCAGCTGAACCGAAAACTATCTAAATCATCTGGTGGAGCAACAAAAATGAGCATCTAGCTAAGTGACTTCAGATGATGCTATTCCTGGGTTCGATTCTGCACCGGTGATGTATCTGAGCGAAGTAAGTGGGAACAAAAATGGACAATGAATACAGCGCCACGAATGATGCTGCTGAAAACACAGCACTGGAGTTCAAGAAGCAACACCAACGGCAGTGCGGGAAGTTGGTGTTTATAATTACAGTTCTAGTCGAAGGAAATATATCCTTCCGTTAAGTAAGATGGAAAGGAATGGGCACCTTCGTTGTGTGTTTGAAGTTTTCGAAGCTTCACTGTGTCATAGACCGACTGGTGAGAGGAACAAGCAATGCGAACAACGGCCCCTGAACCCACCACAGTCTAATGCGATTGGTTCCTTTTTATCCATAGATTAATGTGCTCGGATAGCTACAACGAACGCAAAAAGAACGGATCGATGAGCCAACTTTATTGCGATCGCCGCGTAAGTCTGAGGGTAGACACCCTGGGATTACCCTCCGATTATAGAGAAAGTCAATTAGTGAATGAAGCATAGTTCCGAAGCAATCGTCATATCAGACATGTATCACATAGGGTTGCTTTTTATCTCGTGTGTGATTTTCGCCGAGTGATTTTCTCCGTATCTCTCAACCCATCAACAAGTCATCATTCATCGTTCCTAGAGAGGCATAAAGTGGATATAGTTTTATCTGTTACAGAAGCATAAAGACGGATATTTATGCAGGGGCGCATCACAAACACCACGACGCAGTCTGAAGAGCTGTCGAAGGGGGTATATCTATCTTGCTCGGCGTATATGTAACACTTCACACACCGACATACAACAACACACACAAGCAACGTACATAATGACAGAACGGATGTCACCTGAGGGCAAGGTAATGAGATAATGAATGTTTGGTGAGAAACGAACGTAATGGACATCCGATGGTAGGAATTAGGCGACAAGCAGTCGACTGGAGTCAGGAAGTTAGTAGGTGGGGACAAGTTGTGCGATTATCAAACTGGTGGAAAAAACGCCAGAGGGGAATTATTTGGGTTAATTTTTAACTATGACAGCATAATGGTAAAGTTCTTAGATCCAAAAAAACGTGAATTTTCACTGGTCTTCCAGTACTGAGTGAAATGTCTATGGGAGGGTGAAAGTTCATCAGCGACGGTAAGAAAACAACTTGAGTGTCATACTTGCACATGCATCTGCAAAACGCAATAAAGCAGGTGCGACCTCTGGAAGCTACTTCGGTTGTTGAGTCGGAAATGCGCCACAATATTGGGTGAATACATCATCGCTCGAAATAGACGACGCTTATAGTACGGAAAAAAGAAGTGAATGTTCCCACTCCGCAAAACATCATCCAACCTTTCGGTGCACGGTTGTCATGCTACTTGAAGGAAGCATGAGGGCTGAAATAATGTCATTTCACTCAAGCCGAGGCCTAAGTAGTCAAGAGACCGAGTTGTGTTAAAAAAACGGAGCCTATGCCTTTACTACTGCACTATCTAGAGCTCAAACGCAAGAGAGAATGCTGGATTTGTTCCAGGAAACGCGAGTGAACCATGCTAACTGGACCAAGAATCGATCAGAGATCGACAGGGTTCCCGTGTTGAAGACTATCGTCACTTCGTACTGGCGTTGACAGGCCACATGAATCACTCTTTGGCAAAACTTTGCCTAAAAACCGGCTTGTGAAAAGGAAAGTTTCGGCTTCACACCCGTAAACAAAGAAGAACCAGAATACTTCCTCAAACGGCTGACCTTCAACTTTTCAAGACCAGTATCTTCAACACACTAAGACCACAATATCTACAGTTAGGCTGGCAAAAAATACCCCTACATGCCGAATACTCATGGATGTCCAGTCGTTTATCCTCACTTTCTGAAGGAGACGATCCAACCACAACCTTCAGAGGCAGCGAACCATTGTCAATGGTGTCACACCACAAGTTTCTATCTACATTATCTGACCGAGTGATGAAGGTATGTCCACATCGGATGTTTGTTGTAGGTTAGCCCTGGGTTCTCTCCCTGTCCCATTTCCCTATTTTGTCGATAATAAGTCTTTACTGAAATAAACTGGCATGGTTGTACGGCAGCGAAGCACCAGTGGTCTCAGCAGGTCTATTGGATAATAGTGATGCTGTCACCCAGGCACACATTAATGGCGTTGGTGATGAAATATTTGCAAACCAATTGTCAAGCTGGGCAAGCGGCTCAACAGCAAATTGAATACCAAATCTTAGCCGAAAAAGTGAACTGGTGAGGACCAACGCAATGTTGCCGCGTACCAAATCTTAGCCGAAAAAGTGAACTGGCGAGGACCGCAATGTTGCCGGATTGTCTAGGAGTGACAGGAAGATAAGAGTTTGAAAAGAGACTGGTAACAGTATCAACTAACTGAGGAGACGAACACCATTTGAAGTGCCATACAATTAAGAATTATGAAATGTATATAACATTTAGGAAATCCGGCGATCACTAGTAAAAGCACGTCCGCTCAACTTGAGTGTTTGGATAGGACTTCAGGCCACAGCGTGCGAGATGTCTGGGATGTGCAAAACAGATTGCCCATTTAAATTCAAATCAGTTGCACTTTAGAAACTTACGGTCGGACTCATGAATGATCTGAAAGTTCTTCACTGAAGCTTGCGTGACGCGGCCGTAAAAGTTAAGCACGTAGGACTGGGTGTCTACATAAACGGTGAGAACAGACGGGAAACGATGTTATTGTATACCTTTCCATGCTGAATACTGTGTGGGAAAATGCACTTTAGCGCGACAAGGTAATGGAGGATAAGATAAGGAAAAGGCGATGTTCTCTTAAGACGTGACTGAATAAAGTATCAAGTTCATAACAAAAAAGGCCAACAGATGATGGAAAGATCGAGAAAGCGATATGCGATACTTTCCTGAATTAGGGAGTGGGGAGGTTAGTAAATGTGAAAAACATGAAACCGATCAGCCCTTACAAAAAAAGAACGTTCCTGGAAGATGAGGGAACGGAAACAAATGTGACTGTCATATTCAGGAAACTGAACGGAACACCCAAGATGGTTACCATTGGAAATGCAACGAGTGAGTGAAATCTAATGGGTGTTTTAGAAATATTCCTGAGTCCACGTTCTATACTCGGTTAGATAACGATTCAAGATAAGACAGTCATGTTTTTTGAACTTGGCCACGGTCACTAAGATTCACACGTTTAGGGTCAGAAAATAGGCATAGCACTGAACATGCAGTGCAGCAAATTAGGTAGATTCACCAAGTTATCCCGCTTCCAATGCGCAGCTACCTACCCCAACTCTCCGAATCACCGGTGAACGAAGCTGTGGCAGCTACAACCACTGTACGACCAGTACGCGGTTATTACAGCTAACAATGATGATGATGATGATGATCTGAAAATCATACCTAAGTCATTACTTAATAGAACAGTACAATCAGATACTGTGGTGGAAGGTTTAATTTTATCGCGCATGGAATAGACTGCATTCACTGTGTGACTCACCTTCATTCCAAACCGGATTTTTGTTGTGCAGTTCCAGTAGGTTATGTGTACAGTGTTGCTTCCACACCTCAATAAGACTCTTGCTTGGCTAAAAAGGGGGGTGGGATACGTCGATGGTTATCAAGCGATTATACACTAAAGCAGTACGTTTGTCATGAACGGATAAAGTGCGGAAGATTTATCAGACTGTTGGACAATGCCTCGTTCATGTGAGAAGCCCTGTGGCAGTTAGAATCGCTGCATCTTGGCATGGAGTTAGTGGAGGAACAACCGATAGATCGAGTGTGAAGAAGCTCAACCAAAGTGAAATCGAGGATGCTATGGTTTCATTTATGAACTAGACGTGATTAGATTGCGTTTCCGACACTGAACACCCACATGAGTCTTCTGCCAGCCAGCAACCGAAATGTTAGTTTCGTGTGGTGCAGACCACCGGCAGCTGATCACAGTTGCAGATAGCCTGAAAATTCATAAACTCTGCGTCTCCCGGTTCCACAGCGTTCCGGATTACTGCACCACACAGAGACTGAAATTCGTTCCTCGTCGCAGACACACCCTAAAAGCAGTTGATTTCACGATTCGAAATGCACACTGTGCACAAAGGTTTCGTTATAGTGAACCGAAAAGAGCGCGTGCAGAAGCAGGCAACAAAGAGATATCGATAGAAAAAGTTTATGTGAATTAACTACGGTACGGTCCGGACAAGTGGGTAAACATCACTGGTAGTTAACTTGTTACGGATAATCTAAGCTATGTGCTACCTAGGCCTGGAACTCACTCTGATTCATGACTTTATAAAGAACCGTATTCCTGCGGAGAATGGTGCACTATCCTACAGTTACGGAGATGATCATGTCTTAACTGCTCTGTTTTTGGTTAAAAGAAACCGACTTCACGCAGCGTGCTCCTTCAATTTTCGCCTAATTTAAGCATGGATGTAACGAATACATTAAGGGCTTCGCACCTGAATGGTGTTCAGTAAATATAGGCATTCACTGCGTTGCGTTTTCCGTCTGTAGAGATGGATCGTGGTGCAAAAGTATGCCCACTACCTAAGATGAGAACGTATAGTATTATTTACTTATTGGTCTTCATCCACAAACGGTGAAGTGCCTCCAACTTAGTCGATATACGACAGCAATTCACTTTTGTGTTGTTCACATGACTCCTGTGTTATTATCATGTTTTGATTTCTAAAAGAATCAACTACCGCCCTTTTGTGAGTGCCTTCTCACTTTCACACAGAAATACTAGCAGACGCAATAAAATGTGATGATTTGTCTACCCTTTCGTCATTGCGGCAGTGTTGTGCTGTACCCGGTTCGACGATACAACACGAGCAAGCCTGTATGCATGAAAATTTCCCCTAAGCTCCGGATACGGGATAACAATTGAAACTAAAACTGTCCTAATATTCAGGAGGACTTAAATTCCACTGACATCACTTGCAGTGCTTTGCACTATTGTGATGAAGTATCGCACAGATGACTGAAAAATTGGAAACTATTCTAAAATCTATCGTCTTGGTGCAGTGGGTTCATAGGTTAGACGTGTTGTTTCCTGATGCTGATTTAAAGAGGTAACAATAGGAATTCAAGACATCCAACAGGACGCTTATCTATGGCGTGTACAGGCACAAACAGTGTACGTCTCTCAGGCCCGTTTAACTCAACGTCAGGTTCTCTTGATGGGAAATGTCAGCATTCTTGTCGAGACACGGTGCCACAAAAGAGTGCACCAAATTATCACAAGGTAATAAATTCAGATAATACTTTAAAACTGGTGTTGATAAGGCTGCCAAAAATTACAGGGCGATTTTAAATGAACATGAGTAGTGTGCGCCGTTGAAAACTTACCGGATCTCCACCGAACTGTCTGCGTTGGCCATTTGAGTCCAATTGCGGAATAAGGATGGTCATTTTTCTGGGTCCTTTGAATCCTAGCACATTAGTGTCCTGGGAAGCAAAAACGATCAAATCACCTTCAAGCTTAAGCAAGACAAACTAGTGTCTTATAGTAATAATTATCCGAACTTTACGTGTTTTTTCCACACGACTGCATGTCTGGTATCAGTTTTCTCCCAATTGGTGTGCTCCAAGTGCGTATTTTGGTTAGGCTACCTACCCCTCATGGTGTTCCGGTAGACTCAAACAAAACGCCGAACAGAAATGCCCAAAGTAAATAAAATTTTCCATCCAATTCGGAGTGGCACGATGAGAAAAACTGGCAAATTTCAGGCCGAAAAATTAGTGATATAGACTATTCTACGTTTTTTTGTGGTAGCCGAAATCTCAGGCTATATTATTACAAGCGTACGAATATTTTCTGAAATTTCCCACCCGTAGCCAATCGTTTTTCACGTGGTGGAAAGCAAGTTGACGTTAACACTCTTGGTCTGCAAAAAAGTGATCATAGCGGTTGAGTAATCCGTGAAATCACCAAGTGCCCGCAACAGCAGGAGAGAATAACAATGTTTTGATTATGCCAGACTGTGATTGAAAGCAACCGGCCGGATCATGTGTCCCCAAACGCATCATATCAAAATAACGGGGGGTGGCTAACATCCAACAGAGTTGGAATCTGAAAAGCTGTGTATTATCACTAAATTTATTGGTTTCGCTCGCAGCTTTTGCTGCTTCACTAAGCGGCTGTAGTTCTGATGTGCTGAAAGACAACTCTGGTTGCAGATTAGATGGTTGTGTCGCTAATCCATTCGCTGAGTTTAGCAATCTGCTCACAAACGTTTCATCACCATTCGTGGCGACATCAGTGCGCGGCATCACAGCACGATTGTCAAAATGCGAGCAACATCAATGAACTTGCCAACTTTATAGCATGAGAAAAGAATTCCTATGGAGCATTAGGGTCCGGTATGAAATGCAGCTGTAAGGGCAGTGAAAATTGCCTCTTCCGGCTCGATGATCTTCGGCCTTTTTATCATCAATCCCCTACACAAAACTGGACGTTAGCTGGCTGTGGGACCAAGCTTTTCTAGTTAGGGCTCACGTAATTCCTTACGTGGTTGGAAACACTACACGATATGACAAGCAGGTGACTGGCGAATGCAGTCTTACTTCGGAGTCGTACTGCCTGGATAAAGTAAGCCTCACTAATGACGCTAGAACGATTACAGTGTTGGCCTTTTGCTCCGTTAAGGTGTTCAGAAGTGTCTGGCTCGTCACAAGGCGTAGACACATTCACCTCACGTGAGTACGAATCGGTTTGACAGAAGACTTGACTACATTCAGCTGAATCTCTAGTTTCTTCACGTTCACGATCATTTTGTCCAGGAATATCCACGTCATTTGGCACTCCAGCAAAGCGCATCGAAATTACCTATGACCTTACAGGCGTTTGATAAGGACTTTTTCAAAACATTTGAGCATCGCGAGACCATGGACTGTGTTTGAGATCGATTACGATGTGAGGTGGCATCCGACTGACGTAACGAGATACAAAATAGCTTACAAGATTAAACTACAAACGTTTTAGACAAAATTCCCCCTCCTCAAGTATGAAGTAAAGAGGAGAGACAACAATGTGACAACAAAGTCAATAAATCCAACAGCGAATAACATTATTCATGTGTCTTACATAAATAATTGCCGCCAGTTCGCGCAAATCGTCCGTAGCGCCGGTCCACGAGCTGTCATCGGTGAACTCAAAACTGCTCTCAGTCGACCGTAGACTGGCGCGCGATCGGTTTCCCAACGCTAAATCCGGTCTTTTTGAGCGCTTACCAACAACACCACAACCAATACCAGCGCTGTCTCCATAGATGACAAACTGCGTACCAAGAAAATTTGACCGCAGTTTTCCCGCGAAACTGTCCGCTCTACGCGATAAATCGGTCGCATCACATGAAATCACATAGTTGCTGGTGGCAGATCGTTTTCGTCGCCGGGCTGCTAGCAGGAAGAATTTTCGATCATCTCTTTCTAGATGGACATAGTAGGTGGGGAATATACCACGATCAACGCCGTGTTTGTCTCGGGTGATTCGACAACGGACGGTGATGCCCTGAAATTACGAAACGTATGGAACAAGTCACTAGTTACAGTTGCACTGAGAACAAAGCGTGCCTACCAAGCTGCTTGATGGCTCATATACAGTGGACTAGTCGTTTCTACAAAACAAGCAACACTGTCAAGAAATAACTTTTACAGGCCTAGGTCATCACTAAAGTATCACCTTGTAAAGATATATGCAAACGGTAGTTCTAGCGCTCACAGTGGACTGCTCATACTGTTGCAATGCCACATCAAGAGTTCGCCGGAAGATTAAAGGTTGGAAAACCTGGTCCAAATTTATCTAGGATGTGGACCTCATGTCAAACTCGGGAGAGGATCTGTCGAATCCTGAGCGTTTTCTGTTATATTCTGATTGTGGATTAAGACCCCCGCAATCGGATGTAGCCCCCTATTGAGGCGATGCCAGATCGGTAACCCATGGATTTCAAAGGCTGAGGAAAGCGTCCACGTAAAATTAATCTAGAACTGGTGTTGCCGTCATTCGTCAAATCACGAACCAACACAACTGCATGAGTGGCGATATGCGGTCCGAAGCTAACAATGCCCCACCGACTTTCTAGAAAATATGGGATGTAAGCTGTTTGGACCGCATTCCTCTAACTTTTCAAGTACTTACATAACAAGCCACACCTCGGATTTCTGCCTGGACTTGGCATCGACGTTCATGAGGGAAGATATGGACCGCTGCTTCGTTCTTCAAAGTTTTTAGCTCACCGGTGAGGTGAACAGACTGAGGACTATAATTCCTGTTTCAGTGACGCTCAACTGTTAATGATCACTTAGCTTTTCAATCAAACAGTAGTTCTTTCAGTAACCGTTTAGGCCCCTAACCGTTTTCGGTGTTTGATAGAATTATTTTTTTGCGCACAAATCAGAGTGGCAGAGCTCCACTCCATGAGGCGTTCCATCGGAGACGTGAAAGATGGTGAACAAACTGTTTCAAAAGTGAACAGCACGGTCTTTTGATTGTTTTCCCATCTCCATCCACTTGAACACAAGGTAGTAAGATTTTCGGACAAGCATAGATGGATCACGAGATTAATTGAAACCCTCTGTGAAATACCAAATGACTCTAATCTACGGCAACCTGAATGAAAAAAGCCGCCACGTACAAAGGCGTGGTTCGAGCCATGTTATGTACAGCGGAAGTACTCGCAATCTGGAATAGAAAATCGCCCAAAGTAACTTGACGGCACTTGGCTCAACTAGGTTGGCCCAATCGGTTGGCAGAAGCCCATGTTGAAAAGTTACGCTGACCATCACGTACGACTTAAGCAAACGTTCTTAATTTTGTTTGTTGAAGGGAATGCTGGTAGCTAGAATAGACGGTCGCCGGTCTGCCGCTTGAGCTTAACGATTTCATCGCAAACGTTTGGTTACCGACTGAAGTTATATTATCACTACGTAGTGGGTTGGCAGTATGTCGTATTTTTTCAATCAGTTGGTGTGTTAGCGATGAGCAGTGGCATGCATATTTTGATACAACCATAAGACGAAATTACAGAGCTACGAACGTTCTTCATCATGGTTCCAATTCTGAAGATTGAAAATTAAATGATTCTGAGTCAGAAGGTGACCAGTACTACCAGAAAAAAAATCAAAATTTAAAGGAATCTTACATCAATTAAGTAGGCTTTTAAACGCATCAAAAATCGAAAAACGGTACAACAAAGTTAGGATACCAGCCCATGACAGAATTTAGCTGAGAGAGACCAATGATAACCCCTGGTGGATGTTCATGGAACACTTTTACGGACATTCCCTTATTCCAGTCATTCAAGAACTCGGTTTTCGGATCACAGATGATTGCGTTTTTGCATATTTACTGAGCTAGTATATTCCACGGGATTTGAATCGCGTAGAAAAAACAAGCCTACGGGTTGGCCGGTTCAACATCTTCACGAAGCAGCATACTGTATTGTCCTTCTGTAGGATACATCATCTTACATTGATTCAGGATCACCGAATACAGTGGGGTACTGAGGAATACCTCGATCCACATTAGGTGGCTTAAGATTTTTGACCAAATATGGGTTTTGCATTCGAGTTTTAGAGACACAATTTGCGCTGATGTTCTGAGACAAAGTCATTCAGTCGGTCAAGCCTGTTAGATTTATTGAGCGGTTAGAAAGTTGATGACTGTCTATCATTGCAATCCTAGTCATCTCTTAAAGAGTCGGCTTCGTGTTTGTCTGTAGTTCATCGGCCGTGACTTTAGCGCCAAAAGCAGAACAGTAGAACATAAGGCTGCTGGAAACTCGTGGACTGCGCCTACCTGATGAGCCCCAAGAAGGGCGAAAACGGTCGTGGGCTGTCCAAGATTTTTCAGCAACCTTGTGAGTAGTTTCCTTCATGAAGAACAATGCCTAATTATACGGTTAGGGCACCGATTCCGTGAGTAGGTATTCGTTTAACGTGGAGAGAAAAACTAGTCGGGACAATATAGAGAACTGCACAACAAGACGGATTATTTCAGGTTCCTTTGCATACTCGCCACAGCCAGTTGCTGACTGACCAGAGCAAAAACCTAATTCAAAAGGTGCTTCAGACAGTGAATCACAAACTAGAGTAGAGATGCCTACAAAAATTCGAGCAACAAGAAAAATGGAGGGGTATTCACGTGCAGGATTTCATGAAATACATTCCTCAACTGATGCGTCACTCCGTAGCCAAACGAAGTATGATTTGGTACAGTTGCGTCCAGAGATCAAGTTTGGGTATTTTCATTAGCCGAAGACCTTGAAAATTGCCCGCTTCGTGGTTTAAAACACATTTTCACCTATGAAGACTTGCGGAGCACATTAGGCATTGCGGTAGTCGAAGAAGGGAAGGCTACCCAGGACAGACCAGAAGCTCCCAAATGCTTTAGTATTAGAGGCCGCTGTTTCGAAAATTCAGCATACAAGTGCCCTACACACAGCCCAAATTTTGAAGTCGATTGTACGCAAACCGAAGAGATGAACGTACAAGGAAAAAAATAGAATATTCAGTGCAGAAAAGAACAGACCAAAACCCAACAAAGTCCAGCGTGCTATATCGAGGGGAAGACGGTAAATTACATGTTATACTTTGAGAAGGAAGAAGTAAAGTAAAAATTTGCCGGATTTCGAGATACATACAACCAGAGAGACTAAGCATGAGCAAGAGTGCAGGTGTCTAATAGTATCTTGCATGGCCTGGCACAAGGATACACACGCTGACTAGAAAATATATCCAACGTTTTAAACATGAAGAGCGAGGTCCTTTCACTAAAAGTGAAAATACTGTAAAACAAAGAGTCTGTAAAACGCGGAAAAGGCGATAAAACGCAGCATAACTTTATTGGAGAAATATATCGGTTTGCAAAAGTTAGATTGGACTCAACGAAAAACTCAGCTAGACCTCTCGCTTCTGATATTCTTCGACTGAATGTACTGCGCAAGGGTCCTCTCGTGTTTCAATTGGTATGACACTCGACATTTCAAAAATAATTTTCGATATCTCGAATTTCTCGCCCGCTGAAACATGAGGCGGCCTTGAACAATTTGGTCGCAGCTCTTATTTTGGTTCCAAACTCTGTTCAGGAAGACGAAAACACACTGAAGCGCACCTGAACTGACATAGGGAGAACACCACATACACGGAGCATCAAAAAAAGAGCTATCCAGGAAATTGCATCAGAGGAGGGAAAAGACTCCCAGATAGCAATAAAAGCAACAACAACATGGGCAGAAAAACAAACGGGCAGTCCAACCGTAAATCAAAAACGTATGTTAACTCACGGCAGGGCTACTAGGACCAGAATGAATCCCGATAGAAATCAAACTAACTGATACATTAAAGAAACTCGTTTCAAGACGGAGGGAAAATGAGCGGAATACCAGAGAATTGTTGATTAGCGAAATATTTCCGTGGAATAACGTCACAGTGAAGATAGAGGATGAAAACTATTCACACGATGTAAGAACAAAACGTCACCATAGGAGAGTATGATCAACCTTCCCTGGCTTCAACACACAAAGCTCAAAAAGGACAGGGATTCAATCTATCAGACGTGGAACCACATGACGAGAAAAGGAAGTTCCTAGAAGCGACGGAGTGAATCACCCAGTATAGAAAATGATCATTTCTACTTGCCGATACGGGAAAACGAACACCAAGGGAATCGCACAAAGTGAAGGGAGCTAAATAGCGCACCGGACTGACCAACTGACAACAATGATAGCCATGGGACAGACTGGTTGGAGGTCACTTAGAATGAGACTGAGATAAAATCCAAAGGTCATCCGGTCGCCGACCAACTAGGTAGCCAGCCAACTACACAACGTATAGGTCCGACAATCCGAACGCCAATCGCAATTAGGGTCTAGCCCCCGAATTAATATGACATATGTAAGAACAAACGCAGATTGCCCAACGTCTACATACAGAAGTAGTATAACGCAGTAATTCAAACTGACTCATCCGCTTCTTTGCTGAAGCATGCGTGAAGCATGACGGGAAGTGATTTATAAAGAAACATAATATTGTGATAGAAGGAGCGAAACCCAAAGTTTCCGAATTCCTCAGGATAGTTGGCAGTTTTAAGAATCATCCATGTTATCGAATCGCGCTCTACTCTCACTACCAAAAAACGTTGTACAGAGGTCAGCCAAGTTTCTGAGCTAAGAAAAGCAACGCAAAGGCGTGGCAGGAACTAGAATCATTCATCGAATGCCGGAGTAATCCGTGGCTTAGCGGCGTGGATACATCCGTCGTCCTACTCTATGTTTCAATGTAAATACACTATAGAAGCTGATCACCAAAGGCACCTCCTTGTGTGCGAATGGATCAGTAACCCTCGGCACGAGAATCCTCAGTTTATCGTCGCAGCATGAATAACTTGTACCCATCACGAATAACTCTACTCGAAAATGATCCCTATTCAAAATGCACTGGATGGTTTCTCCCAAAACTAATAATTACTATGGTACGATAATTCTATTGTATATTATTCACCGGCATATTTTTTTGAAATCATTGCGCACAGTGAACATGAGGTGTCATCTCCTTCAGTTGAATATCGCTGGAACCGCTCAACGCCTTCCACAGACTTATGCTCAAAAGCTCTTCGAATCCGTGGCGTTGGTTCCTTCCTGAATATTTTCATTCGTTCTTCACACGGTCAGGTGTGTTATCAGTTAGGTGTCAATCTAACTAATATGTCCATTAATTTGTGATGGTTCAACTGTCCACATATTTGGACGTCAGATGTATTATGTTGGTAGTTAACGAAACGCGGATACGCAGCTGTGTCCAAGTGATTCGTGTCCCAGCACAAATGCAGGGATGACAGTCGAACGCATTCGGTGTCATCTATTGACTAATGACTAACCCAAGACGTTTCGTTTCAGATACAAACACTAGAACGAAGCAGCACAGTCACAATATAAGAAATTTGATTGGGGTAGAAACCTCACAAAATAACGGAAGGGTGAGGTGATGTCATCCAGAATCCCTATCTCATTGTGTCCACCCATCTGGTGCTTCCACGCGTTTCTTTCTCAGTGAATCTGAGAAGTTTTCGGGGCCACATTTTTTCCTCTAGGCTACAAATTACAATGCAAAATGTAATTCAAGTCGTCCAGTACGCAGATGCATTAAACCGATGATTTCACCGTTGACTGATTTGACAACAACATCTGAGGGCAAGCGAGCAAACCCGACCAAATTTAATGAATCTAAATTGCTCGATAAATTAAACAACTCTAAAGGACACTCATTTGTAAATCGATTTGGTTTTCACGAGAGACTCAAATGAATCTCTCTTTCATGATATTTTACAACTGAATGTGCTGCATATAGGCCGCCTCATGATTCAGTAGGTGCGATATTCGAAATATCGCAGTATATTTTCATACAGGAAACTACTCACAAGATTGCTTAAAACTCTTCGACAGCCCACGACCGGTTTTGCCCTTCTTGGGGTTCATCAGGTAGACGCAGTTACATAAGGTTGACGGAAACTCGGGGACTGCGCCTACCAGATGAGCCCCAAGAAGGGCGACACCGGTCGTGGGCTGCCCAAGAGTTTTCAGCAACCTTGTGAATAGTTTCCTTTATAAAAACTCTAAAAGACGGTTGTTCTACAACAGTGTTGAGCGTCGTAGAACACCATCACGAAGATGCAGAACCGGTGTCGAATAACGGTTGTCCATTTACATGGATTTTTACACTGACCTTAGCGTCAGGGTACCTAGTCACGATAGTCACGAGCCGTTTGGGTATTTTAAATGTAATCTACTAGTTGCATTGCAACCTTTCCGAAAGTCACTAGACAGGTTCACCCCGCGGTCGGAACAAATTGCAGTTCAACATAAAATAGAAGGCAAGTTCTGTGGAATTCTGTCCACCGAGGGCAGTCACAAACTACACGCGAGATGTTCAAGTTCAGTAGAGTTTATACCAAAAGACCATGAGTGAGGAATGATCTCCCAGCTACAGGAATCTTTGTTTCCGGTTACGTGTGGAATCACTTTCTATGCATTAGTTGACTGAACACGAGACATAAAATACCAACCTTTGGTGCAGGCTGGAGTACAAAGTCTTCCAGGTTGTCTATGGAATCCAAAAATGTTTCAGCTAGGCGTTCTTCAGCTGGACTGCGCTCATCATTCGCCTGAAACGTAAACGAAGATCACTGGTAAGATCAAATAGGAGGAACACAGTCGGAGAAAACTGAAAACGAAAGAACGTATCCGGCAACAAACAAAATCTCAGAACTACAGTAGACCTACTGTAGACTCGTCATGAAGTAATAAAGTATCGCAATCCCCGGTATCTGATACGTTCGGTACGGTGGGATCCAGCTTCGTATCGTTCGTCTCAGTGGGAAATCCAGTCTTTTTCTTCCCTTTATTTAATTTTGTTCTAACTTTCTTCATTCTGCTGTTTCGCAGGGCACTCGTTCGCTCCTTATTTTCGGTTCGTCGGGGCTCATTCATTCGAAACAATTTGTCTTTTGTGAATGCAGTGGTTGCAAACAGAACAACTGGTTGTCGTGTAACGTGCGCGTTCGAACTGGTGGGCAGAGCCCGTTGCTTGGCTTGTCGCGGCTTGATTGGACACACCCGACCCATCGATTCCGATTCATCTGACAGTGTTAATTCCGAAAGCTTGGAATAGTGGAATTGGTTGGGCTGAGTGTTGCTCCGTGGAGCTGGCCGATGGCTAGAATATCTGGGTTTGTATGTCACACGATTCTTAACCGAAGGTTTGTTGACCATAGGAACACGTCTAAATGGACTTGACTGCAAATCGAGACAATGACGGAGGTTAAGGACGAGCGAGATGTTTCAAGGGCAAGAGAAGCTGTTTACATCCATGTGAGTAGTATTGGGCAATGAGCTTACCATCCGATCAGACTCCTTCCACTTTTGCATGTGTTGGAATGTGAGAAAAGTGTTGTCCTACGATGAGCGCTTTTCCACTTGATTTAACCTGTACGAACTAAGCGGTTTTTCACATTCAGATACGAGCGGGTACATTGTTACTATTTGCCACCTACTTTCAGTTTGACTGGATGCAGTTACACAGGTATGTTTAATTTTCGCTTTGGAAGCACTGAACAACCCCACCACGTCAAAAAACAAAGGCTGAATACACTTCTAAAAGACGGGAACCAAATTTACAGCTTCCAGGTACAATTGATGGGGGGAATACATAGACCAAAACGGCAGGCGTGTTGAGAAGAACAACTCAGCACGCTTTGTTCAGGAGATGCAGGATATCATACTTAGGTATCTGAAAAGATGAATCACATAACTCTTGATATTCATTTCCTGTGTGAGAGCTTGCGTGACACTGTAGGCGCTTTCATCTGACGAAAGCTGTCGGCCTTGGTCCTGCATTGTAGGTGCAAAAACAATGATGAGGTCTTCATCCAGAGTTAGTCAGACTGAACTGCACAAAGTCTTGTAAATCTATGCATTAAGTATGCCGCTGTCGAGGTTCTACGACGAGACAGCCACTTTAAATGCTTGGTGTCATACTCAACCTGAGACTAGCAACCTATCGGAAATACCGCTGAGGGATGTAAGAAAGCCACATTTGGAGCCGATGTGTAGGTATTTGATAAACACACTACAAGGACGCATCGATCGATGAACTGACACTCAAACGTCACTCGCAACACACACCAATAAACCTCACGTTAATTAGGAAATAAATCTGCGAAGATTCCGCAGCCAATGACTATTGATCGTGGACAACTGGAATCCGCGACGTTCGTTCAGCCAAACTGGTTTCCGGAAGCACCTGACCAAAAATATTGTGAAGCAGGAACTAAAAAGTATACTTAATGTATACACTGGACTCAGGGTTGTTGTGCCTCACTCTCTTGTTCTAAGGCGCCTAGGACACACCTATAGCAATATGTATCAATACATACAATGCAAAGCTCGACCATCTACAAAGTGCATCGGGCACGCCCATAAATAATGACACTGACGACTAGAGATAAGGCTAGCTGTTAACAGCATCTTGTCCTAGTTAAAGTAACAACTTCCTGGTCCGGTAGCAGGGGAAAAATGCCAGTCGGTGAAGTACTCACCTCGTTCACAATAGTATGGCACGTGCGGGATCAAAAGATTTTTCAGAAGAAATGATTTTTTTAAAATATCGACCAAACAAACACCCAAGACACCTCTCGGAAGAAGAGCGCGTTATTGTACGCAAACGGCAGGAATCGAGATACCTCGTGGGCTGAGAAAAAGCTATTGGCTCAACTTAACTGCGGAATGTTTCTGTCTAGACTTAGGTAGCCTGACAGCATCTTAAACCCGGTGCTTTTCTCGAGTTGTGTGGTAGCCATATTTCGATTTTCATCCCACATTCAGTTTACTCAAATCTTTGCTTTCACATCCCGCCAGGACCACAGTTAATCCCTTCATCTAGCAGTTTAACACAATGAAGATGACGAGTGTGAGACCGAAGGGCAGACTAAATTTCGATATGTTTTCCAAACATGATATCCTGTGATTGCTTGTGGTAGCTATCAGCGCATTGATGTCAAGCAGGAGAATAAAGCTACAACTATAACAAGTCCAACTGTGATATGAGATTCACGAAGTATCTTTAGTATTGCTAATTCAAAGAACTCATCCTGAACATACATAAAAGTTTACGCCAGTTTGGCGTCCAAATTCACAAAGATTTCTTAGGGATAATTAAAATCTGATCTCTCAGTGTTTCAAACGAAAATGGAGAAGGGGCATTCGATAAATACGAGCAAGATGCAACCCACTATTCACAAGGTCGCTGAAAACGTTTGGACAGCCCGCGACGGGTTTTGAACCCCTTAGGACTCATTAGGTAGGACCGGCCTCCGAAGTTCCGTCAAAATTGAGATGGGCCTGAATCCATATGGAACGGAATCGACCACTAATTCACACACTAATTTGATCTTAACGACAGACTCGACTAATTCTAGCGGAATCTCCCGGTTTTATGAGAGGGGTTCAAAGGGTCGGACACCCGAGAATAGACCTGACCACAAACATGATTGTGTACAAATCTTTGCATAAACATTATGTTGCGAACTCACAGTTTTGACAAACGGGCAGTCTCAATTTCGTCAGACTTTTCGCAAAACAAGATTCATAGAAGCCCTTTTCACATAGGCGACAATCTGTACGATTTAGGTTACAAGACACACAAGAACTTCGTAACAACCCCCTTCGGTGGTAGTAGTTTGGCAGGATTATCTTCAGGATTCATGAAGACATGGAATGTGGTGATGTTTCAAAAAGTCCGCCCCTAACCTTTGGTCAATATCATTCCGTCACAATACTGCTATTGCGGAAGAACTGGGCTCATTTAAGCGCAGTCGCGCGCGGTTGTTCAGGAACGCCAGTAGTGGAATGACGAGGCCTGTAAACCCTGCCATTTGCAGAATAGAGCGTTTATGTGACGAAATCCGTACCGAGCTTTCGAAACCCGGAATATGGGCGCATTAAATATATCTGTCCATAGGTGCAATTGTTGGTAGCTCACTGTTCGCTTGGCTGGGCAATCTGATTGCAAACATCGCATTACCAATCGAGTTGACATCACCAGTGCATTGTGCCAACCACCAGCCCATCGCTACGAACCGCCACGCTTCCTACGAACTTTGTGATGATGTCGCCTCAATGAAACGTTTGTAAGCAAATCACCCAGCTCAGCTAACAGGTCAATGACCATACACCTGTCCATAGCAGTTTCGTAGTGTTGTTTACCGTCAACTCCACGTGCATCCAGTGTAAACCACATTTCGGAAAACGGCATATGATGTTCGATTGAAGCTAAACGTCTTTCGTCCATAAATAGCAACAGGATAATCCGACAGACATTGCAAACAAGTTGTACTATTAATTATTATTAACCAAATAGTTGATCAATTAGGTATTAACTATATTAAGCTGAAATAACACTATTGTTCGCAGAAGCAAGTCAGACGCATTCAGTTGTCACCACCCGTTGTCAATAAAACGGGTGGTCTATTATCAGCACAACATTTCATCTGTTTGTACATAATCATAGACGTATAAATTACCACTGCCTGCAAAATCAACAGCCTACGAGACTTTACTCTCATGGTGCAGACTTCGGATTACAAACTGGTCAGCCCGAGCTACAGGAACGCCGACATCTTGTCTCATCAGGACCTGACACTTCAATGCCACAAGTGTCAGCTTGGGCACAAGGAAAACGAAAAATGCAGCATTCGGCACTTTTACAGTAAACACAATTCAGCTGAGAAACAGCACAGCATCCAGCGTGAAGCGGACAACTAATCCGCTTAACGGTTATGTCACCTGCATGATCGTCCATCCACGTTAAGTTTCCATGACGACGGTGTGCCTCATGTGTTCAGTTTTTAAACTTGAAAACATCTCGGGCTACAGTGTCATGGAATACTAATGTGGCACTTTAGAAGAGTTTGTCATTACAATGGTTCAAAATGTCTTTGCGGTAAATTTCGACCGTGAGGTTGTTCAAATGTTAAAAACGAGATCTGAACTAGTTATCAGCAGTTGTGAGGTCCGGAGAACTCACTTCTACATAGCCCTCGTCTGAACAGTCCTGCTCCTGCACTACGGTGACTATTCCAGTGAGCGCACACGAAAAGAAGGAATGCGCTGGATTCGAGTCTCGCTCTTATTAAATCATATCAAGGGTGCATACCATTGAACGATTGAACAACACACATCTGGCACGCGAAGTGATTACTTCAATACTACGTCGTTCGCAAACTCTCGGCGCGTTTGTAATAGGACGTCCTAAAAGGCAAACGCGTTTACGCGTGAGGTATGTAACTAGTTTACTCTATGCCTCAAACGATTATCCAGTAACGTGAAATATGAATTGCAAAACTGTTCCACGCTAATAATAAATACCACACAATGTGGAAATTTCAACGGCTGTTTCGATGACGAAAGCGCCATGTGCAGGAATGGGCTATCGAAGAATAAATTACGGTGGATAGGCGGCCCGGATGAGGAACGACCTCAAGAGTAAAGAACCCATCAAAGACAATTTCCAGTCACCATCCACATTAGAGGAGCCGCTCAGATTGATGTTCCACCGGGTCACCCTGGTCCAAATACGAACAATCGACAGGGTGGAATCTAAAAATGGGTCTTTAATTCATGAACTCATCTATCCCGACCGATCATGTTTTTAAGCAAAGAGACCATTTAAACATCATAAGGGCAAACGCTATTTTCTGAACCAAGGTTCGTAAGGCATTCAACTCCAGCATACACATTTAAGCGGGCTGTAATATCCTGCGGGGGGTTGTACAAATATCTGGTCCATCGCCTCCTTGAATTTCTTCGCTGAAGGCATTCTGTCACGCCGGATAGCCTGCATTTTTTAAACCCAAAAATCAGTGAAACAAAGAAATATGCGCATCATGCGGTACAAACAATTGTCGCAACTCAGGATACTTGTGTACTTTCTCTTTGAGTTGCCGAACCGCACTTCTTAACTTCAGATCACCACAGCAGTGTACCTAAAAGTTATGACCCAAGGAATAATGTGTCCAGGCACTTTTATGGATATGTCAATAGTGAACAGCTTACTGAGCATCTTATTGCACACAGATGTCAGTATGTCTCCCCGAAAATGAAAGATAACTTGGAAAAATCATCAAATACCTTTGGATATGTAGTCAAGTCATCAATCAGACGGCTTGTCTCGGTCAGTGGTTTTGTAGGTCGCGCATTGGATACTGGGTTTTGGACAGGTGAAGAGGTAGTTTGTGGAACTACGGGTGGCTCGTTTCGGTTTTTGGTTGCTTTCCTTTTCGGTGCCGGAGGAGGAGAAGCGGTCGGCTTACAAAGAGATGATCCAGTCTGGTTTGCTGAGGTAGTCGGATTGGACAACAAATTCTGAAGAAACATGATAAGAAAGGGTTCATATAGGCTATATCACCTTTCCATACGGATGGTTTGTGTACAGAACGGAGTTAATCACTGAATACTATCTACTGATACTGGATGTTCGTACGAACCAGGAAACGAAACAGCCATTCAGATTAAAGTGAGGGTAACCCAGACATTGTATTACCCTACCTTATTCTTCCTTTGCTCTTGAAACAAACCACTGTGTTGGTCGTGAATACCGATCACAGTTGTTTTGTGCTTAGCACTTAACGTCCGACAGTTCATCTTCATCAGTCTTCCTTTTTACTCAAAACAGGACTGTAAGTGAACGTAGCGTTTTACTAAGTTTGAGCTCAGACGGGATCCCATATCGCAGTCACCACTAAAACATCTAAAAGGAAGTAAGAAAACAAAATGGAGGACTTTCTGGACTAAACTGGGAACCAATTATGCCAGTTATCAACTCTTCATTCCATTCCTTCAGTATTTGTCATTTTGTTTGAGAAGTGAAATGAAATCTGTCCAGAAACACAATAGCTAGATTGATGGTCCTACTTGGTTTGCGCTCACAGCCGAAAAAAAAGTAAACCACATCTTTCACGGGTTTGCCCGTTGTTATGAGGAGATTAGGCTTTATCATGTTGCGACCTCAATAACCAAATGAGTCAAACTGGTGGATAAACATGAAGCATTAACAGTCTCTTTTCTACTGGATTGATCAATAAAAATAAGTCTGGAAGCCCTTTCCCTGATCCTCGCGTTTTTGAGTAGATTGGTCTATTGGACTTGAGTCTATCATCGACGGCCTATGAACGGGTTTTGAGAAAAACCCTTTAGTTGAGGACTAAGCGTCTTCAAGTCTGGATCGCGTTGTTCCCTCAGCTGGATTGTTCTGTTAACTGTAAGCTGGCTGCTGGCGTCTGTAACTGTCTGGTCTCCCTCCTGGCTTAGTATGTGCCATTCTGTGGACACGTCAGTCGGACATTTTCCCTCAGCTGGATTGTTCTGTTAACTGTTAGCTGGCTGCTGATGTCTGTAACTTTCTGGTCTCCATCCTAGCTTAGTATGTGCCATTCTGTGGGCACGTCAGTCGGACATCCAGGGGACTAATCACATGAACACACTCGTTTGGTGCTTCGCCTCCGCTTATCAGACATGGTTATCTTGTTTTATTACAAAAACACGTGTAAAGTCGGTTAACAGGCAGTCTTGCGCGCACTCTTTTCACTTAAATATTTCATGAGACCAAGCCCACAGAAATACTGACCCGATTCTGCTTGTAGTTTTTTTATTGTAAACTAAACAAATCTCATTCTGATTCGGGAAAAACACCTGTTGGGAATTAAGCACTCCCCATTTCCACCACAAAGTTGAAGTTGATTTCAATGTCTCTAGTCATCAGAAGATGTACAGCATACTAACGATTTTGGACTCAAGGTCCTTCACAGCTTTACACTACCCACCAAAGTTCTATAGGGGCATGGAGATTATCAGCGGGAGGGGGGCGACATTGCGTTACTTAGTTTCCTTCTACTACCGAGCAGCCACAGAATGGACACATGGAGAGTAAAACGTTGCCTGCCAGCCAAACTGTCTGCTCAAAGTATGCCTGTTGTAATAAGCTGGGCTAATATTAGGTAAAATGCGCAAAGGACACCGGGTCTATCGGGCGTAATATGACATGATGCTCAGTTGTATTTATTTCGAGGCTCATCGAAGATTTATGCAAACTACTGTTGACAGACCAACCGCCCCTAATAAGCTAATATCACATCGATTGGACGGATGTGACAAGTGCGGGCCAGACAAAAACGTGCCTTGATTAGTTGGAATGCCAACGAATCAGACTCGAAATTTTGAAGCTCAGCGCTTCTCGCCTCATCACGAAGATTCTAATGCGGCACTGTGATATGTAGAACATTCGTGATGACCCGTCGTTTGCTACATCATTGTGCTGTGTGCCGTTAACCACAAGTATCCGCTATTTGTTCATCACACCAGATGGTGACAATATAGGGAGAGATATGATATTTGATGTTCAACTTCATCGTGGACTAAATTAAGTAGCTCGTTCTAAGAAACGGTTAACTTAGGTCTTAAGTCTGCAGCGGGCTCCATGCCAAGAGTGAATAAAAACACTTGCATGTTATTGCCACAGTTTCATTGGTTAGCTTTCCATCCAACAACGTTTGACCTTGGGACTACTCATTTCCAAAATGATGTATGCGCAACTAAGTATGTGTTCAAGACATCAGAACTCGTGCTAAAATCTCATATTCCAACTACTTCACATTAGCCTGATAAATGTTCTTCAATCCAGGTGTGCAGATTACTCATTCACATTACTCAGTCGTTCAGCTGTGGCCCCCTTTCAGCGCCTAACTGCCAGGCCACCAGAGGGAAGCACGAAAGCTGGGATACTGCCAGGTTGCCCAAGCCTAGACAGGGGCAGTCGAGAGGCAGAGGTCGGGTTCGAACCACGGACCTTCCGGTCAGTAAATTCGCGCTCTAATCACAGAACCATCTCGCCACTCAGTCACGTATCAATGATCAGATGTCACACGACTATCAAGAGATCCTATAGGAAGATACAGTCGGTCGGGTCGGTCAACAAATGTGCAGATTGCTGGTGGTGATCGTTTCCAAAGGCCTTCGTGTTCATGGGATCGGACTCGGATCGCAGATGGTGATCCAATCGAGCGACCATTCCTCTCTTCCATATCCAACCTACCACAGGTGCATGTCTGTCTTAATATATAGAAGCATATAAAATAATATTTAACGCTTCTTTCCTGGAGACAAAAAGGCTCAGGGTATAACAGGCCGTAGTTTCGCAATCTGATGTATCCACAATAAAGCTTGGTCACCATCACAGCCGTTCAGGGTATCCCAGTAATTATTGGTACCTGTAGTTTGTCAACTAAGAAGCCGGATACCACTCGCTCGAACAACTTTCTCCTAGGTCTTACGCGATTATTCAGATGGGTCCACACCAAATGGGCAGAAGTACTGGGCCAGAGTTTCGAATTTAGTAGAGCTGATCGGCAAACATCGGGTATCTGTTCCGTGTGGATGAGCATCACATAATTGAGTAAATTCGGATAACATTGGAAATATGAGAACATAGAGCTCAATCCGCGCCCAGGCTTATCACTGTTCCATCTACCTTACGCGCAGTGCATGCGGAAAGGCTAAACCAGGTAACCACAATGAACAGTGTTCGATTTTCCTTCGCGAAAGAGCGCCTACTGATACTACCGCCTATTATACAAGTGAGTAGTTTCCAATGCGATGTCTGTTGCGTTCTTAGAAATCGAGAAATTAAATTGAGAAATTAAACTGCTGCTTTTTTCATAACTCCTTGGATGTTCTAACACATTCGCTCCTTATTCGTACAACCATCTGGATTGGCTCTGCGACACTTCGGGTGGGTCGATCCTTGTTTGCAGTTTTGAGTAAAACGGAGCGTTGATAATTGGATAATGGAAACCCGAGTTCGCCCCCAGTGAAAGGCTCGGTTGATGGGCTGGAGGATGATTTCTCAAACCAGTATGACTATGGATCGATAGAGTCGTCAGCTTGTGGACTTGTTGGACTACAGTGTCTTACTAGATCACTGGACTTGTGAGGCTCATCAATGGACTCCAGTGCTACAAATTCTCATCCGGTAATCACCTGTATGTTGTTTCACAATACCTGATACAGTGGTATCCTCCAGCTCTTTCCCATCTCCAGTCACCTCATGAACGGGCCGTAGTATATCAGCAGAATATGGACCTTGATTGCAAGTGATTGATTCGATTACTCCTGGTCTGGTCTGTGTCGGTCAGGGATACGAAACCAACCAACTGGGAGAAAGCTGCATTGATCACGACGTAGCTAAGCTGATGCGACCACGACTGAAAATAAATAAAGCATCTTGTCAGTTCTACTGCCAGTTATTTGTGAGCCTCCCGCTGGTTCCGTTCCCCCTATCTGAGATCATCGGCTGGCCAGACTGTTTCGACATAGGCTTGATGGCCGTCGAACCAAGCAGATAGATGGCTGGGAAACTTGGACGGTGACGAAATGGTGATTCATGCTTTGCCCAAACTCACGCAGCTCTGGTGCGGCATCGAGTTTCAGGCGGTGCCAAATAAAGCACTGTTGAAACCTTACGCTCAAACACAGAGGCCGCACCAACCAGTTCATGTCCTTATTCTGAGATCTCATGCTGACGCGCCATTTCGGTAATCTCCTGCTAAAGCGTTCGCTAACTCGAGCATGACTTTAAAGTATGTGGCATTTTGACCAATAAATCCGAGCCCACAATACGAATTACTGTTCAGAGTGTACAAGACAGGATAGTGTATTCAGTGACAGAAGGATCAGACATTCATAACAGTTTACAACAACAGCATTGCTTGCAATGAGTGAGCTAATGTGACCTTGGACAGTGAAGTGGCGAGTAAAGTGAAGTGCCCTTGAACGTTCGGTCTTCAGTTACCATTTGACCTGTTGTTTCGCATGCACGCATTCATGAACCCATAAGAAGAAAGTAAGAGAAACTCATCGTTAAATAAACTGGAGACGAGAGTTCACCTTTACGCGATTTACCATCCTATTCCAACAAGAATGTAGGATTTCGACAAACACACGCATTTGCAAATCAATTTGGTTTTTACGGAAGACTTAAATGAATCTATGGCTTATGATATTCTTCAGCTGAATAAGCCCCAATGAGGGCGAAACCGGTCGTGGGCTGTCGAAGGATTTTGCAGCACCCTTATCAGCAGTTTTCTTTATGAATGTAGGATATTTTATTCCATGCCGGTTAACTCAACATTTCCTGAAAGTGCACGGGCAAATTTGCAAACGGAAACGAAGCGTTATTCCAGTGAGTTATCCGAAGAAATCACGCCAGTCTATCATTATCAATGGCCCTTTGAGCATTTGTTCCGGACATATAAATAGTCTACGATTGCTTCTAATTTTTGTGACCGAATATCGTCGTGGATAGCTGCACA